ATGCCACCAGTATTTGCTCTGTCGTTGCTCATCCTGCCTCTTGCAACCACGCGTTGCCCTTGAAGACACTGAATGAGCTCAGTTTTGACGGAAGCTGGGTGTAATAAAGAGTTAAATAAGGCTGTGACTTAAGAAAAAAAAACAACGCAGGCAGCCAGTTTCCTTTTTGGTGAAGAGAAAAGCTTCCTGCTAGCACAGACACTGCAATACACCAGCGCTCAGAGAAAGCGGAAACCCCCGTCCCCTTCAAAATGTGATGTAGTGGAACCTCTAACAAGTGTAAAAACAGCGATATGCATGTTTTTGGAGAAGTGGGAAACTTCTGTGGGAGTGAAAAGTTCTCGTGGCTTGTTTTGTTTTGTTTTGTTTTTCACCATCCTTCCACTTACTTGAATATACTTGGCTTGGGGGAAAAGAAAAGCAAATAAAATCCCAAGGAAACTGCTGAGTTTTGGGGGATGTTTTTGAAGAACTGAAGATCATCCTTGGTATTAGAGAACACAATGCTGGTGTCTCTTCTGCTGCAACTCCCTTCCCAAGATATTGCAGTAATGCAAAAAACAAGTCCCCAAATAGAGTCTATAAATTCACCAGTGCTCTTCATCGCTGAGAGCAAACAGCTGTGGTTTTTTTCCTAACAAAAAAGACCCATGTATGCTGCAAGCTTAAAATTAGAATTGCCACACTTCCCAAGAAAGCTGCTAGACTCATGTTGAACAAAAGAGGTGTCTTCAGTAGGCAGGTTATGATTAATACTTCTACGTGTCAACACAGATAAAGGTGGTTTTTGTTGGTTTTTTTGTTTGTTTTTTTTTGCCATTGGTTGTGCCTGGCTTTAAAAGAATCCTTTTTTTGATGTGTGAAGATTGACTCTGTGTGTTTGCCAGTAGAGTTCGGGTCAGAATGTTACTGCTGCAGTTTAGTTTTGATGGAGCGTTATCTTTAAGTAATGTTAAGGGCATATATTCATATATATGAATATAGATTTCATTGCATTTTTTTATACCTACGTGGCGTCTATATTTTGACTTGTACTTCGTTATGATGCTAAAAGTTATCCTGGTGTCACCTCCTACACAGTGCTGGTTTGTTACAGCGATTCCTCAGTGCTATAGATTCAGTAGATAGAAATTGGAAAGCAAGTAAAGGATAAAGGATAAAGGAAAGGATAAAGTTCAGGAAAGGATGAAAAGTCCATGGAGTTTAACAATTTTGTGTTTTGTAGTCATAGAATGGCTTGGGTTGGAAGGGACCTAGAGGAACATCAAGCTCCAACTCCCCCGCTGCAGGCAGGGCCACCAACCTCCATATCTAATAGTAGACCAATGAGTTTCCAGTGAGTTGAGGACCCTGAGCTGCTGGATAGTGAATGTTGTATTGTTTGATGGGCAGGAAGTTATCAGAGTGTGGTTTCTTGGAAGTCCAGCAGGAAGAGGGATGGAGTGGATGTGGGAAACGCTGCGGAGACCTTTTCTGTCAGCTGGCTGCTGCTGGGGAAGACCTTCAAAGTTCATAGCCTTCTTTGTGATGGAGTCGTCGTGTTCACAATGTGCTATTGTACAAATGACAGATAACATCGTAGCCTGGAGAAGGTGGTGGTTGCTGTATCCTACTGATCTGCTGTGACTAGAAAGAGGGTTGTAAGGTTTGAACTGTACTTGCACAAAGCATTATTTGATGTTGAAACTTGTATCTTATTTTTAAAGTCAACTTGGACTTGTAAAATTTAAAGTGAAAGTGACAGTGATGATACGTATTCAGTATGCAGGAATTCTTGTATTTTCTATTTCAAACAATTTATTTAGTAGTGAAGGTTTTGAATAATGCTTGTCATCTTACTGGAACAATTTCTTAAATATTTTGAATCAAACTTTGTGTTTGATTCACAATATATAACAATATATAACACCTATTGCGTTTCCTTTCAGCTTTATTTAAAGAAGGAAAGCAGAAGCACTCTAAAATTAGACCCATGATGGCATCAGGTGATGTCTGATTTGTGGCTTTCTGAAGATTACCTTTGATTCCTCGGTGTAACTTGTCATTTCAGAGAGAGTTTGAGAAAGAGTAGTTTCTGAAAGAAAATCCCTGTTAATTCTAATCATCATGACAGTTGGATTGGAACTAAATTTGGTTGTCAGTCAGACTTTGAAAAAACAATAACCCTGGTGTAGCACTAGGAAAACACAGACTACCATTGTAGCCTTTCCTGTAAAATGGAGATGAATTTCTCTTTACCTTGCTTAAGGATAAGGCCTAGCTCAGGCAGTGGAAACGTGTGATTTCTCTAGCTCTTGTTTCATGCTAAAAGCAGTTTTTAGTCCAGCCCCTGTTTCATCCTGTTTGGTTCTGTGCTCAGTTTTTAGAAACACGGACAGAAAGAGACCAAAAGTCTCCTCTTCCATATGGTTTCGGTGTGAGCTCCTTTATTTTGTTGTTACTCACGGACACTGCAGACTAAGAAATTCCCATAGATTTTATGCAGCTTGTTGGAAGACATTTTTTCATATCACACTGATACAGATGGCGTCGTCACAATAAGAACACTTTTCAGAATTCTGCCATGTAAAATGAAGATGTAGATATTAGGTCCTAACTTGCATGGTCCCACCTCTGCCAGGGCCCATCAGGGTTAGGCCAGGTGGTGCCATGCTACAGATGGCAGCTAGATGGATGCAACATCTGGAGAGCTCTCAGGGTGGCAATAAAAGTTTTGGCCATCTGAACAGGGAACAGCTGTGTGCCACTGATGGCAGAGGTTTGCTGTTGGCTGTACTGCAAGGGCTGTGGTCCCCACTTCTAACGTTGCAGAATTTGTTCATTTATAAGAAGTACACATTTAATGAACCATAGTAACTGCAGAACATGCAGTAAGACACGCTGGCAGTTAGACATAGATATACTGGGGCAATAAATCTGACTAAATGTAATCTTGGGATTGTATGAGGAAGTAAGTTGCATCAGGTCCAGTTTCAGAACACCTTTGTGGAATAGGATGGATGAATATGGTTGTTCCTCTGGTTCACTATCTGTGGCTATACAGACATGGATTCTTATTTCTTATTTTTCTGAAGAATTCTTGGAGAATTGGAGGATGGAACATATATTTTCTTCATGTATTAATTACAGTTTCATCTTCGTGTCCTAGCAAACGTTTGGATTTCAGTACTGAAAAGTGGAACTGTGCATGTAATTGGCAGGGCTGCACTGTGCCTATGTTCCTGTGTTTCGCAGTGTAGAAGTCTTATGATCCTGAATATGGAAGTTAAATTCCTTGTATTGAGTCTACTGCTCTTTGAGTTTAAAGGGATTCCTGTTTGCAAGTCAGAAGGGGAACTTCTGGCTGTAGAACTGCTGCACTCTTCAGGAAATGAGCAATTTACTGGGGATTTCCTTGGTGAAAAGGATTGCTTGGCATGGACTCAACATTTGCAAGTTTTGAGCCAAATTCTCAGGAGACGCTATCTCCATTTTTGATCATTTTTCTTAACACAAATATGTGTATTTGTGTCGCACAGGAAGTTTATCTGCCTCTAAAACCAAATGTAATCACTTGTGGATCACTTGATCTTTGCATTAATGATGAACTATCTTTTGTCTATTACTGAAACTCAAGTTGAAAAGCTGTGTCAAAATGTAGCGGACATTTTTGTTGTATTTTTGGGGAGTTCTTCTGCTGGTATGTCCTTTCAATGTGAGCTATCAGTTCCCATTGCACTCAGCTATTCCCTCTGGGCACAGCCTTTATTAACATCCCTCAGAGCAGAATGAGGATCCACAGAAAAGCGTGGGTCTCCTGGCAGTCACCTCATGTGACCAAAGCAGAAGCTGTGGAAAAAAAACCAACTATCCCTATTTCTGAAAGGAAAATACCCAGCAGCTCAGCTGAGAAAAATCCAGCCTGGAAAGCACCAAATGATTTCTTCAGCATTTCCAAACTCTTTGCTGGCAAAATTATTTCTACAGACACAACGTGGGAGTTATTACAAAAGATGCCTGAAAGTGATAGTGTGGAAGAAGGTGAACAGATTGAGGCTTCATTGCAAGAAAAAAGGCAGTAGGGGGAAGAGTTTGCTAGAATACTTCTGGAAAAAAGGGAGGCTGCTGTTGCAGCCAGGATGCTTCACTGGACTGAAGTGAAAGGGAAGTTAAGAAAAGCCTGGGCTTGGCACGTGTTGTTTAGCTGTGAAAAGCCTGACAGAGTCTGAAATAGCCTACTAATAAAATATTGCCCTCTGGTAATACAAACTTACAAAATAAGCACTGGCAATTTGGGATCTGGGCTGAGGGCCAGCAGACGGTGACCTCTGCTTCCAGAATGAATGACGATGTTGTTGTTGTTCTCAGTGACATGTTGTTTTCCTGGTGGATCTAAAAAGCTGATCTTTTGAAAAGTGACTTCAACTTTGAGATAAATGGGACTAAAAGAACCCCTAACACAGCTTGGTCACTGTTCCACATCACTGCAGAAAGCCTGTAGGGAAGCCTGAGCCAGAAGCTCTGTCTTCTCGTTCTTCTCAGGGCTGGGCGCTGTGTAGAGAGGCTTCCAAATCTGTGAGTTGTTCTAAGAGGGAGTAAAACTGATAATAAAGACAGTTTTTGCTGACTGAAAACTGAGTGGAGATAATTGTTTGAAAGAAATTGCTTTCATTTGCTTGTGCACGAGCACCTACGTCAAAACAAACCAAATGCAGATGATAGGGGTGTCTTCTTTTTTGAAGGGCTTTGCTTGCAATCCTGTTTCTGAAAGAAGAATGCTCTGCTCAGGGCAAATTGTCACGGTAAACATGGAGGGATTTTCCTTTGCCTTAAGCCCAGAATGCATCTCCTTCTTTGGATGTCTTAAGTATCCCACATTACAGCTGTTCTTCGTTTATTTATTTTTAACAGTGAGTACTTGGCTGTAGTCCAGTGCTTTGGGTGTGAAACATCAAGCAGAGAGAATAGGAAACTGTGCCCCACATACTGCCTTTCCTTCAAGCAGTTCCACATCTCTTTGCCCTCCTTTTCTCATAACCAGCGGGTGAAAGGGTAGCTTGTGATTTGATGCTGATGACTGTTGAGCCTTTTTCACGTGTCAGCATTTATTTCTTGGAAAAGTGTCTTGTTAGTACTACTACACACAGTTGCAGCAATCACTTAGTGCAGCAGCCACTAGCACCCACTTAGTGCTTATGTGCTTTTGGGACTTCCCATAGCACAAGGTGATGTCTTCTCAGGTTTGTTTTTTGTTTTTTGTTTTGTTTAGCTTGGCTTCGTTTTCCTTTCTGCTGTTTTGGTTTTTGTTTTGTTTTGTTTTCATTTAGTTCCATGTTTCCCTGGCAGCGCCAGTGTGGGAGGCAGCAGCTAGATGTGCAGAGCACTGGTAGCCCAGTGATGGTTTCCCAGCAGCAGCACAGGGACGAGGCTCTCCCTCCTACCCTGCTGTCTTTGTGCAGAAGAGTCAGCCACAACCTGGCAGTACCTGACCTTGACTTAATCTGACCAACTAATTTCAGTGGCCAGAATGATCTGGCTACCAAAAATGCATCACCCAACTGACTCCTTAATACATACACTGATGTGCCACTTCTATTAGGTAGCATTGGAGATTGCTGCGGACCTTGGAAATTGTCAGGGGCTAAAGTGTATCTTAGTGCAAGGTGTCAGAAGAGTAAATTTCAAAGTGGCTGTTAGAAATGACATTTTATTTTAATTTTTCGTTCCTAGGAGATGAGAATTTGTGATTCTCAGTTGAACTAAGTATGTTACATTTCGTTATAATTTTTGTATTAGCTGAAAATGAGTCTCAGTGCTATCCAAGGTAACGTGTAGATAAGTGAGATAGGTGCCATGTCTCATGGTCTTACTTGCCACAAGCCTGCAGTTTGAATGACCAATTCTTTTTGTGTGCAGTCACCTATTTTCTTGTATGCCAAAATAATAGCTTTGTGTGAACCCTCTTATTTCTGCAGTCAATGTTAACCATTTGTGATTACTACCTTATCTGTTTTCAGCCTACTTTAGCATCCATAGATGATCTGTACTATAGGGAGTTGGACATCATTAGATGATTTTGGAGCAGCTTGGTTTGCTGGCTGAGATGTTGAATGAGGTACTTAAAGTAGGGTGCCAAGTTTCAGGAATGCTCTTGTAGTCCTGTGTTCTTTGCACTTCAGAATAACCGTTATTTAGTACTTTTCCTTCTTCACAGACTGTGCAGGAGTCCAAAAACATGAGTGATATCAATAACTTCAATTCCCAAATAAGGCAGAGGGTTCTCTGCTTAGCAGTTTGTGTCGGATGTTGCTCCGAGCTGATGGCAGAGACAGGTAAAGAATCCAGTTCCAACAACATCCATTCCTGTGAGTCGTTCAGCTCTTTTGCTAGTATCACACCCAGAGCAACGCTGTCTCACTTGGCCTTTCCGGATGCTTTTGCTGTTACAAGTGGGAGGACTCTTTGGCACGCAGATTTTCAGTAGAGCTTAGGCATCATTTGTACAAATGAAGTAACTTCAAGTGCCTCCGCTTGCAAAGAACTCAAAGGAGACTTCATTTAAAGAAAGAAAGAAATAATCACAGCCCCTGTAACAGCGAGTTTCAATTTCTTACGGACAGTTTGATATGGTCTCCTGTGGAAAACCTGATTAGACTGTGTTTAACAAGTCTGATGCAGTCCCAGCTGCTGGGGTCGGTGCCAGGATGCTAAAATATTTTCAAATACTTTTTTTGAGTATTAAGACCTTTCTTATCATCGTTATGTGATACTTAATTCATTTTAGCTATCTTGGAAGACTGATACATGTATTCTTTTTATTTTCCTTTCGGTAACTGAGAAAGGATATTTCCCTCGGTTACTGGATATTAAAGCTAGCAGAATTAACAGCAGAATTCTTTTCTCTTTCTTTTTTCTCTCTTATTATCAAGGATAGAAGCTCTCCTGTGATTTTTTTCTGTGTTATTTTTCCATGGTGTATGCTTCTCTGGACTAGAATGTTAGATAATTTATTTTCAGCTGCTTGCAGATTAAATAGTTTTTCATTTTGATTATGAATAACACAGATTATCTCATTAAGTTGTTTTTCTTCCCAAGTCTGTTGGGTAAACCTTTCCACATTTACATCTATTTTATGCAATGAAGAATTTCAGTGAAGGGATTTGTTTTGCCTATTAGAAAAAGCATCGTTAAGACGAGGCCTGGAAGAGACCTGAGATATCACTTAAGATCAACCGCAGATGAGGTGCTCAATATTTGTGGTGCATATTTCAGCAACGGTTATTGGAAAGTTTTAATGGAGGAGTGATGGATTGCTGTCGTAATTCCTCCTCTCTGATTTTGCGTGTCGAAACAATTGCAGTGTGTGCTTGCAGGATGTCTTCTAGTATTTTTCATTTCTCTTGCACAGCATTGAAAGTAGTAGAACAGTTACCGATACCACTTGCATATAATGTTCCTCAAATCACTCAGTTTATTGTTTTATTTTTTTAGGTTTTATTTTCAGCAGTCACGCTGAGTCACATGATGGGCTCATATTATGACCCACTACACCCCCTGCTTACCAAGTCTCTCCGGTTGTGTCAGTTGTGTTTGCTAGCCGTGCTCCAGACTCGTCATCCACATAGCCTAATTTGAATTTTGTCCTGTTATTTTTAAGTGAGTTAGGAACACTTTGAATTTAAATAATGTCTTCCTGAGTACATCTCCACCCACTCTGGTAACATTCCCAAGTCTCTCATGTGGAATTTATGCCATTACTGATGATGTTAACGGAATACCGAGTGCACTGGGCAGCATATAGCACAGATTGATACAGTCCCACTTGCTAACATGGGCTCCAAGCACTGACTGCCATGACTCCATCAGGGATATCCATCTGATTTTTCATCCCACTTACGGTGCTTCCCTGCGGAGGAAGCTTTCTTTGGCTCTATTAAAGAATTTCTCTCTGACAGACCAAACAGCTTTAACCTAGTTAAGATTTGTCATTCCAGCTGCTCTCTTCTACTCACTGGGCTGGTTATCCTGTCAAGGAAGGAAATTAGATTGTTTTGACATGATCTGTTCTTGACAAGTTCGCAGTGGCTACTTCTCATCACTTTTTGTGCTGTAAGAACTTACAAATTGATTTTCTTCCTGGGTCTGTCTGAGTATTTCAGTTAGCATCATTGCATGTGACACAGTGAGTCCTTGTTTCCACGTTCTAAAATATTGCATTTAACTTCCTTCAATAATGTTGCATCTCCCCATCTATGCTCTGTGCCGGCTGCGAGACAGAACGTTACGGAATTGGCACAAATGAAATGCTGGAAAACTAATTAGGTATCTATTCTCATGAGCTTCTCATCTGAATACTGAAGCTATTAGAAGATTAATTAGCTCGAGCAAACATCAGATGTTTACAACTAACTAATTTTTCAGCTTTACATCGCACACAGTGCTGTTACGCTAAACGTGTGATTTTTGCACACAAAATTCAGTAACAACAAATCCTTCGTACAATACTGCTAGCTTCCAGGAAAACTTCTGTTATTTTTGCACTGACATGCATACTTACTGCTGTGCTAAGCTGCCCTGCTCAAAGACATTTCAGCCCTTTCAACAACTCCTAAAAGAAGCATGCCTTCAATCCACCTTAGCAGCTGGTTCTCAAAAATGTCTGAGTATCTTTGACCAAAAATGGTCAAAAATCAGCAACAACTACATTGACCCTTTTGCATTTCCCAGACCTGACGGGACACAAAAAAAGAGCAAAACAAGAGTGTAACTGAAGTGTCAAAATCCAGGGGATAGCCTTTCTTCCACAGTTGCATTGTATTGATAAAGCACGCGTGGTTCACGTGGTTTTGCAGGTCTCTCCAAAAATGTACGAAAACATTTAAATTATTTTTGTCATTTCCTTGAAATCAACAAGCTTAGCATTAAGCAGATTTCTCAGAAGCTGTAAGGATGTATTCATCATTACTGCTTCCAGCAAATCTGCTCCATTTCTCGTGAGCGTTATCACAAATTCGACTGATGGCACTTGAAAGAGCAAAGCCCTTTGAATCTCTGTTATCCATTTGTGGTCTCCTGTTTCACGAACTGATAGATTCTGTTCTTGACTGCCCTACCTCTCACCCACGGTCTACACCCTTCAAAATCTCCATGTCCATTCATCTCAGGGCTACAGGTTATGATAAAAGACCCTCTGGCTGCATTAGTTCCAGTCAAAACATTAAAATAAGGTATTCTCTGGATGTGAATTGCTTGTGTTGTGTTTGTGGAAAGAATTCATTTTAATCTGTTAGTGTCAACTCTGTAATAGGATTGAATTTGTAGATGGCAACTACCAACTTTCTTCCTAGGACTTCACATAGCAGCTGTGAACAAGCCTGTGCCTCGTTCAGGAAATTTATTTTGAGGAGTCTCTGTCAGCCAAGGAGATGCGATCTCTCGTCTCCAGAGGGGAAGCCATTTATGCTGCATATTGAAGCACAGTGATAGAGCATCAGATTTAGAAAAATGAGCGGCTTACTCTAAGCTTTCATCTCTTGAGTCTGGATTTGGATCCCCTTTTGAAGCCGGTAGCGAGATTGCTGTTGATGTCAAGAGAAACTTCATCAGATGTCTCATGAGCAAATCCCAATGAAGGTCACAAATTCAGTAGGATTGTTGTGGATCACCGGAATGCCATCAGCCTACCACAAATGGGCATTCCTTGACCTGCTTGTGTGATCTAAAGAGATAATCTTTGTTCTGTTGCTGTGTTTTTCTGCACCGGAGCAATGACCAGAATCGTTAATAACAGATGCATTGTGGCTTCTTTGCTGAGATTTTATAACATCATTCCATTTTCTAGAGAGCAGAGAAAGCTTCTTAAGAGTTCTGATTGATTTTTCAGTGTTAAGAGGAAAAAAAAAAAAAAAAAAAGGATTATTAATCAAAGTATTCTGAAAATAATGACAAGCCTTCTAGGAAGCTGAAATACCACTGTGCATTATTCCCCAGCGTGATTATGGGTGGCAAGGTGGGAGGCAGCCTGCAGAAGCTGGCAGAACTACTGCGTAAAGTGCTGTGCCTGGTGTGGTAAATAAACCGTTGTCTTTGAGAGATTATGAATTTGCACTCCAACCTTTGGGAGCATTGCTTTATTTCACATTTAATCAATTCCGGGCGTAATTTTCCATATGTTCAGAGCTAGATTTACTTCTCCTCGTGATACAATTTTTTTTTTGTAATTATA